TCAATCTGGTCAAAGAATTTTGCACATGTAAGCACAGCTAGTGGAAAGGAAAAAACCTCCAGCAAACCTGTTCTTATAAACAGTGTAACTCCTATCTTACCTCCTTGAATGTCTTGTACCAAAAACAATAAGGTTTACTTGCATTTCCTGTTCCATTCCAGTCCAGAAAAACACTTATCTCAAAAACGGCAGACATTCACTAATCATATCCATCGGCATAATGCCTAATGCATTGATTAGTCATCAAAAACTTTGCATGTCAGTTTCTTGTGCAACTTCATCCTATAGAATAATTTAAAGCTGCTAGTTCTAGCTTGACATTTAAATAGTTCAAAATAATGCTGAAGAAATTGCACATGTTCTGGATTACGGAAATCGAGAATAACTTAATTTAAAATACTAACAGTGGTGTATAGTAATCATGGCATATTCTTTTGTGCTTTTATATATTTATTTGTATGATAAGAGTTCCCAAATTGTATTAAAACTAATTTTACTGGATGCAGCTAATGAAAATAAAGACGATGATACCAATTTGTTTAAATTGTTTGAGTAATAAAAAAGGTATGGCAGTTTTAGTGGGATAAAAAAAAAGACACAGTTTTCTCCAAAGATCCACCAATTCCAAGGCTTCAAAACCACTTTGTGTCAAATTGTCATGAGAGTTCCTCAGAATGTAGGACAGAGTTTATAATGCGTTAATCTGATAACCATTTTGAATAATAAACAAACACATTTTTTAAATGTTTTTTTAAGCCAGCCGTCCAGCCTCAGTTGATCATTGTCACAGACTCCCAGTCTAAACTTGTCTATTTCAGGGTTTAAACCAGTTACCAGCATTACATTTTTGCTCCATGTGCCAAGAGCTTTAAAAAAAATGTCTGGAAAATCTTTGTACGTGATGTGTTTAGGAAAGGTGTAGAAAAACGGTGACTTCACTGAATAACCTGGCCCATCTTGACAACCTGACAAGGGCAGTATTGTTTCATGGTTATGACGTGCACCGTGCAGCGCAATAATTACGTTCTCTTTATCAGCAAAAATAACACGTAAGAGTTCTTCCTTTTTGAGAAACTTGCTCCAAAGTTACTTTCAGTAAATCCAAAATACAGCTCAAGACTGTGACAGATGCAGTGCTTATAGTTTACTTTCTGTGTAATTACTCAAATGTTGTATATGTAAACATACATAAACGCTGGTTTTTAATCAAAGTGCCTGACATCCAGTGGACGTTGTTAGAAACATAACTGGTACTGTCATTCTGAGACTTTGGAACGCAAATCATTTATTTTGAATAAATGTATTATTTACCTGTGAAATGTAATCCCTTTTGTTTTTGAAAACTTGTTGCCACAAGTTCTATCATTTCTACCATGGTTAAGATTATTGCATGTTTGTTTTCTCTGGTATGTTCTGCTCAAGGCATAAAAATGTCTCGTGTGGCGTGTGCAGGTCACGTAATGTCCACTCCTGCATAAATCTGTCCACACGCAGCCATGAAACACTCTAGCTGTGTGCATTGCTCAGTAATTTCAAAGTGTCTCAATTCATGTGAAATAGACATTTTTTTTTAATAACACTTGCAGGATAAGTTTTAATGTCTTCTACCTGCCTAAAGTAAAATTTGTCAAAAAGCATGAGATGATCAGTACAAATACATCACCTGTACTAATAACTGGAATCTGTTTTGTTTCTGTGTAACTGGCAGTCCATGACATTAAAAGACGCCATCAAGTCGTCCCTCACCATCCTGAAGCAGGTGATGGAGGAGAAGCTCAACGCCACCAACATTGAGGTTTGTTCCTCCCCGAGGACTTGACCGTGTTGGTGCAAAGTGTCTGTTGACATCGTTGGTTTTCATGCAGACCTTTTGTTTCTTCTATAGCTGGCGACAGTAGAGCCCGGTAAGACTTTCCACATGTACTCCAAGGAGGAGCTGGAGGATGTTATCAAGGACATCTAGAGAGGAAGGTACCTGGTTTGAGTTCTGGGCTGGAAAGGAGAGGAAATAAGCGAGTGTCTGGGCCTACAGTCACAACGCAACCACAACTTTCAAATAACCCACAGCAGTCAGACGTTTTTGCAGGTTCCTGTTTGTAATGTAATTTACGCTGGTCTGGGCAGCAATTTACAGAGGGGGGGGGGGGGGGGGGGGTCTTTTGTTACGGATCAATACTATAATAAAACTGTTGTATTCAGAAAGTGACTGACTGTTTTGTAAGCTTGTGTTTGAAGTTTGAGACTTTTTTGAAGAGGTTCTTTAACCGGGTTAAATCTTCTGGAGATGTTTTAATTACAAATTAGCTGCAGTTTGCTCAAGTCAAAGACTGACATCAACAATTATATTTGTTCTTTTTTTATATTTGTGGAAAAAATTATGATTTGTTTTTATAACATTTCCGTTTTCTTGAAGTTATTCAATAGCTTGAATTAATCTGGTAAGCTTCTTTAATTTTTTTAATTTTTTTTTTAACTATAAACACCCATTAAGCAACAGAAACGGCATGTTTAGCCAAAAGGCTGGTAAATCCTGAAAGGGAAAAAAAAAATCCATTTTAAAGGCAAATGGACTTCTTGTTGGCTGAAGATGTTTTGCTTCTCATCCCAGAAGTTTTCTCAGTTCAGACTAGAACGTGCCATGTAGCTAAACTTTTATCTGAATGGGATCCAGCTTGGCACATTCCAGTCTGCACTGAGAAAACTGCAAAACATCTTCAATCACTGAGAAAAGAAATCCAGATTCTTTTTTTTTTTTTTTAACAATAAATCTTTCTTTAAACTTCTGGTTCAATATATATATATTTTTTTAAATTACAAGTTCATTTCCCATCAAACTTGTCAGCTAAAGGGATATCGTCTTCGTTAATCATCCAGGAAGACCGCCCACACACACACCCTTTAATATTTTCAATGAATTAGAAAGTTTAGAAGTGGTTTCAATTCAATGAAACAACTACCGGTAATCAGTTATCCTGATGCATGCTCATTAATCCCGGTAGAAAAATCTAAAAGTTAAGCTTGGTCCTCTGGATGGATTAAAAAAAAAAGCAACAAAAAATAATAAGTTGTTGTTGATCAGTTGTTTTTTGCCAGTCATGCAAAATAAACATTTTTTCCTACAGTCTGTTCCTTAGATTCAGAATCCAAGAAAAGTCAAAGACAAAAACAACTGAACTTCTGTTCTAGCTGAAGACGTTTCACTTCTCATCCGAGGAGATTTCTCATTTCAAAGAACGGGGAGTGTGGGATTTGAGTTATAAAGCTAAGGTGTTCTGCAAGATTCACATGCAGATTTCCCTCTCACTCCTCGCAACAGAGGTTCATAAGGGTCTTTGTTAGTCTGACTCATCTGGTCACATGAATGAAGGTCTTGATTGGTGTGAAAACGACTGGGTCATAATGCTCCATTAAGTCGGGTCATCTGAACGGATTCTTCTGAAATCTGAGACGACCTCTGTTTAAAGTTGTTTTCTCACATTTTACATACCGGTAGCTAGTTTCCTTCATTACCATTCAAAACGTCTCAAACCCAGCCAGTGGAAGCAGATGGCCGCTTGTCCTGAGCCTGGTTCTGCTGGAGGTTTCTTCCTGTTATGAGGAAGATTTTCCTTTCCACTGCTGCCTTTGTGCTTGTTCAGGATGGGAGACTGTGATGAAATGAACACAACACATCTGCTGGCTTCCTTAGATAACTTTACTAATTGGCATTTATAATGTATGTGGATGGTTTTGTTCAATGCCCTGATATAACTTATGCTGTGACGTGGCGCTATATAAACAAACTGAATTGAATTGAATTGAAATTTTCTCAAATGAGTGTCCCTTCAGGTGTAGGTGAACCGCTGAGTCTTGTCCTGAAGAGCTGGCTCTCCTGTGTTGAGCCATGCGTCTGTTTGGTTTCTCCAATAGAGTTCTGAACTTTCCTCGCTGCACTGAACTGCATACACCACACCACTCTGTGTACGGGTGTTTTGTCCTTAGGGTGGACCAGCCTCTGTCTGAGAGTCCTGTTGGATTTGAAATGTACTGGGATGTTAGAGAAAATCCTTCAGTTACTCGGATGCTCCCCAAACCCAGATACCCATTTTCACTCCACTCAAGACCTTCATTCATGTGACCAGAGTGGCTCATGTGTGAGTAAGACCTAATGAACCTCTATTGTGAGGAATGAGAGGGCATCTGCATGTGAGAGGGGGGTGAAGGAAGCAATTTATGTAAAACAACAGAAACCATCTTTAAACAGAGGAGGAGGTCTCAGAATACAACTTAGGTCTGATACCCAGTCATTTGCACACCCGTCAGGAATTTCAGCCATGTCACCAGTGTCTCCTCTGTGTCTCAGACTAACGAACCCCTATTGTGAGTAGTGATAGGACAATCTTGTAATCAGGTCTTTCTTGTAAATGAGTCCCTCAGGCTCACTGGGATTAACCTGTATAAATAAAGGTTGAGTGAATGAATCTACATATGTATTTAGCTTAGCTCAGCTTTATAAGTCGAACCCCGCACTCTGTTTGAATTGAGAAAGCTCCTCGGATAATAAGCAAAACGTCTTTAATTTATTAATTTATTTATTTTTTTGTTACCAAGTCCTGAATAAATGAGTCTTCACCAGCACATAGGTTCAGAAATGTCTATTTTTCTCAGTTAATTGGGTTAAATGCAGAGACTAATTTCGCCATTGTATGGAAACATACAGTGCTGACATTGTGATGACATTATTATTATTATTAAAAAAAAGAAGCCTGTTGTGCAATACTTCTAGTTGGAAAGCTCAACAGATTCAGAGAATAAATCCTCATTTAATGAAGCGCCCGCTGGAGTCTTCGCGGTTTTGCCACCAGGGGGCAGTGTGACGTCAGACAGGAAGAGCCGCTCAGTTGAAGAAGATTCCTCCCGACCAATGAGAACGCAGGGATTCCTAGCTCTGACCAATCGCGTGCGGCGCTGAATGGGCCGTTGTTAGAAGATGCTTTCTGGAGATGAGGGGCGGAGGAGGAGCAGCAGGGCATGTGTAGTCAACCAAATGCTGGACCAGTCGGGAGTTTCTCGAAGTGTCTAAAGTTGAGGCACTCTCTTTTTTTAATAGTCATGATCTCCGTGTTCTGTATTTTGGCGCTCGGACTGTTCTCGTCTGCGCTGGGCAGAGAGCGAGCGGAGGGAGACGGCTTGTCCCGCCTGAGGACGCTGCAGAGGGAGCGGTTTGTGTCGGAGAGGTCGGAGCGCAGAAGAGGATTGAATGAACCGACATGCACGGCTCGGAGAGGTCTGGAGGCATCTCTGCTCAACAACACCAGCTCTGTGAGTGTCTGCTGGCAGAATTATATTCTCTGAATGAGTCAGAAAGTCGAGGAGAAAACTGTTGGATCAAAGTTATCCTCGAGTCTGAGGTTACTAACCACTCTGAGTCTGAAAGCTTTTTAAAATATAAAGTAAATGACTTGTGCCTTCAAGATTTCTGGACTTGGATGCGATTAATTCATGTAGTTAAATTCATAAGAATCAGTGCTCTCACATAAGTTTTACAAATTGAAAAAAAATAGTTAATTTCCAAGTTGGAAGTCCTGCATTAAACTTGATGGCCTGAAAAAAAAAAGTTAGTGTACACAGTTTAAAGTCATTCCTCGTTTGTTTTTACTTGCTGCCAAAGTAAACAGACTGTCTAAAAATTTGAATGAATCTTTAAAATGGTTTTATAAAATTTCCATCCAGTGCCTCAGTCAGTGGGATGTTTTTTTGCTTGTTTGGCTACTTAACTCTTGACATATGGATAATTTACACCTTCATCCATCCATTATCTTTACCTGCTTCCTGGTGCCCATATCCAGCCATCACTGTGGGGTACACCCAGGACAGATCGCAAGTCCATCACACCTCTCATTTACATCTACTGATGCTAAATTCAGTTTATTCATATTGCAACAATTCACAACGATCGTCATCTCAGGGCACTGTACAAAAACATGACATGTCAATGGTAGTAAAATTTATCTGTTATAGGAAGCCAGCAAATTGTGTTATATCTCCGCTTTGTCTCAAACCCCCATCTTGAGCAGCGCAGAGGTGACAGTGGTAAGGAATAACTTCCTTTTAACAGGACAGAACCATCAGCAGAACCAGAACCGTGCTTGGGATGGGCAGCTCTCGGGATCTGCCTTGACTGGATGGAGTCTAAGAAGACAGGAAGGAGATACAAACACAGAATGATCGGTCCAGCTGTCGTTTTTATTGTCCAGCTGTAGTGTCTATAGTCCAGCTGTAGTGTCTATAGTCCAGC